AGAGCCTGCTTCAAATTCTGTGTCTCCCTCTCTCTCTGACCCTCCCCCATTCATGCTCTGTCTCTCTCTGTCTCAAAAATAAATAAACATTTAAAAAAAATGTTTTAATGTCTTTCTGAATAGATTTTGTATTCTAATGGCTCTGATCACCAAAGAGCACAGAGAGCCTGCTGATAACACAGATAAGTTGAAGACATAACATAATATCAGGATCTAAAAAAAAAATCAAGTGCTCTCATTATTCCTAATTTGAGATTTGGTTTCTGTTACATCTCTCTTTGTCTTTGTTTGAGTTAATATTTGTATTTGAGGGATTGCACATGTACTGAATGACTTTATGCTCAGTGTACATTAGGTTAGGCATGCGAAGCAGCTTTGTAAACCACAAAGTACAGTGAGAATCTAATATAAGTGAGAAGTACTCTTTGCTCATCCTGTGTATGAAAAGATTTTAAAATTGGTCTAATGAAAAAGAAATGCAAAACTTCTCTCCCGCTCTCTCTTTCTCTGACACAATGAATTCAATAATTGATGGTATGGACCTGTTTTTCTTTCACATAGAAGACTAAAAATGTTTGGCCTGATAAAATAACTGCATTTAGGGCTTTTATTAGTGATACCATCTAGGGACATTTATCTTTTCTTTGGAAATGGAACATAAGTCTCCAGATGGCAAATCACTGGGACTTTGTTCACAATATGAATGAAGCGCATTGCCGGAAATTCATTTCCAAAAAAATCAATACTGTTTGCCCTGGAAATGTGTGTAAAAATGCTTGGAATACCATCAGCTCTGTATGCACTTTGTGGATTATCTGGGGAAAATATTTAAAACCTGACAGGTTTTCCTCTGCCATCAGTTAACCTCTTGCTTTCTTCTTTCAGTTCTCTAAAGAATGTGAACTCATTTCGGCATTAATAGACACAACATATCATTATGAGCTTGACTCTACTTAAAAAAAGAATAGAAGTAATTTCAGGGTCACATATAAATGCTTAGCTGTTACTCATGCCCCCGTGACCCGTAGTTCACTTGGACAATGAAGAGGGGTCTGTAGTTTGCTTGTGCATGCTTTGGGCTAAGTAAGTCCTAGGTTGTAAGAATTTCCAATGCAGTTAATGGAATTCATAGTTTTATTTTTCCGAATTGCAGGTGGTTTTCATGAGCCTATGCAAAAGTTTTTGGGACTGTGGACTGGTAGCCCTGGATGACATTACGGTACAGTTGGGAAGCTGCTCGTCTCCAGGTAAGATGGTCACAACTGCAAGCTCCCTTTGTCTTCCAGGCCTATGCATGGCACATCCCGTTTCTCTAAGTATATGCCAAATACATTTAATCTGTGCTAGAGATGCCTGGGTGGCTCAGCTGGTTAAGCGTCCAATTTCTGCTCAGGTCATGATCTCATGGTTCCTGGATTCAAGCCCCACATCGGGTTCTGTGCTGACAGCTTAGAGCCTGGAGCCTGCTTTAGATTCTGTCTCCCTTGCTCTTTGCCCCTCCCCCACTCACGCTCTGTCTCTCTCACTGTCTCTCAAAAATAAATAAACATTTAAAAAAATATTTTTTAATCTCTGCTAGCCTATTTTTTTGCTTTTCTTGCCAGCAGTGTGCCCCTCTCCAGATGTGTGTGGTAAGTTTGGAACTTAAAAATGATGATTTGTTTCCAGTGTGTGACTTTGTACATGTGACTTGACGTCTGTATCCTCATCTATGAGAGAGGTAGTAATAGTAATACCTACCTGAATAGTGGGAATGATATACGTAGATTCCCTAGCAGAGGACCTGGCACAAAACAATGCATTAAAAATAAATGCCTTCTAGTCTAGTTATTATTATTTTTTTTTTATTTTTTTTTAAATTTTTTTTTTTTTCCAACGTTTTTTTTATTTATTTTTGGGACAGAGAGAGACAGAGCATGAACGGGGAGGAATAAGAGGGAGATCATTGTGAATGGAATATAGCTCCAGGCTCTGGAGAGCCATCAGCTCAGGAGCCCGACGCTGGGCTCACAACTCCACGGAGCGCGCTGGATTTGTGTGATTCATGAAGTCGACGCTTAACCGCATCATGCCACCCAGGTTTCTTTAATTTGCGTGTGTCTTTATATGAATGCAGATTTTCAAACAATGTTGATGAAATTGTTATTATACAGATACTATACTAAACATGTAATTTTTAAATGATAATAAAATAAATATTTTCCAAGTGAATTAGCTGACAGTGGAACAGTGGACCAGGCATTGAGGATAGGGACAAAATGAAGATGGCAGCTATGTGTTGACCAATGCTCAATGTCAAGAAATGGCGATACCTCAACCCAGATCATTGGTCTGTGTCTCCTAATTACCACTGCATCCTAAACCTTAGGGTATCTATTTCTTTAACAAAGAGGCAAACTGTGGTATCATTCGGGCTCCCAATAATCTCCCCATTATTTACTTTTATTGTCTTTTTTTTTTTTATGAAATTTATGGTCAAATTCGGTTTCAAAGAAGCAAATAACGGTGCGTGCTCATCCAACAGGTGCCTCTCCTCAATACCATCACCCACTCCACCCGGCCCCTCCCACCCCCCCATAAACCCCTCAGTTCTCAGTTTTGAGTTCCTTGTGTTTTGGCTCCCTCCTCTCTCTAACCATTTTTTTTCCTTCCCCCTCTAACGGGTTCTCTTGTTAAGTTTTCAGGATCCACATAGGAGGAACATATGGAATCTGTCCCTTCTGCATGACTTATTTCGATTCTAGCATAAACACTCTCCAGTTCCATGCTGCTAAAAGGCCATATTTCATTCTTTTTTCTCATTACTGTAGAGTAGTATTCCATGTGTATATAAACCACAATTTCTTTATCCATTCGTCTCTAAAGAAGACATCCAGATGGCCAACAGGCACATGGTGCAAGATGCCTCAACATCGCCTCCCTCATCAGGGAAAGAGCAACCAAAACACACTCAGATATCACCTCACGCCAGTCAGAGGCTAAAATGAACAAAAACAGGAGACTATAGATATGAGGATGTGGAGTAAACGGGAACCCCTTTTGCACTGTTGCTAAATGCAACTGGTGCAGCCGCTCTGGAAAACAGTGTGGAGGTTCCTCAAAAAATTAAAAATAGACTTTTTTAGTCTCTTGATTTGCAAGGCGCTGCAAGGACAACACAAAGAAAAACAAGATAAAAATCTCTACACTTGAGGCATAGAAAAGGGACTGAGGCTTCATCAGCTTGTACAATATATCAAATAAAATGAAGTAAAATAATTATTATGCAAGAGATGTAAAAAACGGGCTGTTTATTAGAGAAATCTGCTAAGAATCTGGATGTGGGAAGGTACAGCCAAGTTCAGACAAAGAAGTCCCCAGTTAAGTGGGAGGTGACACCATTCTAATAATAAGAATAATCATGAAACTTATTGAAGACAGTGTCCAAAGACATAAATATTTGTTTTTGGAAATGGAAAATAAGGCTCCAGGTGACAAAACACCAAGCCCTAATATTCATTTAGCTAACATTTCCTGAGAACTTCATGTTCTAAATACTTCACATACATCATCTCCTTTAAAACTCACAATCCCAGAAGGTAGACAAGAATATTGAAGACAGAAGAATTAAGTCACGTGCTCCACACAAGTTAAACTGTGCCTCCAAAAGCACACTTAGCTTTCGCACATTCTCCACCTCGTCCAAAGCAACTACTGAGTTGTTCTAAGGATTCCCTTCACTCAGCCAGGATTTCTGAAGAAAGCTCCAACATGAGACAATTTATTGTTTTCCATATTTCCATAAAGGCAGTTTGCCTCCAATTTTCAGTGCTTTGTAAGCTCATTCTGACAAGTAAATTCATCAGTCAGAGGAAGTTTCTATCTCAAAGTATCCCAATACTTTTGAATCTAGATTTAAAAAAAAAAAAATTTTTTATGCTTATTTAGTTTTGAGAGAGAGAGAGGGACAGAGCTCGAATGGAGGAGAGGGAGAGAGAGGAGACACAGAATCCAAAGCAGGCTCCAGGCTCTGAGCTGTCAGCACAGAGCCCGATGCAGGGCTCGAACCAATGAACCATGAGATCATGACCTGAGTTGAAGCTGGACACCCAACCGACACCCACCCAGGTGCCCCTAAATCTAGATTTCTGATTGTTCTCTGTCCCTGTGGCAGGACCCATGGTAGTTTCCAGGCTCTAGCTAGAGGCAAGAGCTTGGCATAGGAGGGTTGCCAGTTGGAGGCCGGTGGCGGGGGTGGGGGGTGCTGCCTCTCCATAAGCACAGGCATATGGCCAGGTGACATTCACACATGCAGCATGGGGAGCCGTGGAATGCATATTCATTGAAAGTGCCTCAGTAATAATAACACCTGCTGTTTCCTCACAGAGGGGCTTCCACCTCCACCTGGAGAGTGTACTTTCGAACAAGATGAATGTGCCTTTACCCAGGAGAGAAGAAACCGGAGCAGCTGGCACAGGAGGAGGGGAGAAACCCCCACCTCCTACACAGGACCAAAGGGAGATCACACTACTGGGGTAGGTGAGTTACGCCACATGGTGCTGTTTCCTAAGGAAACCTGAAATAGCATTGTGGGGGTCATTCACTGCATTTTGAAAGGTGCAAATTTATGTCTCGTGTCTAGAATGAACTACACACATGATTCTCCGCCCATGGGATAGATCATTAAATATGTGCATTTAAAAATGTTCTTTCCGTTTATGCCTTGCTTATGTATCTTGCTGCAAAGAGGATGGAAATGGGCTTATTACAAAGATTTGCACATAAAAATAATTTAATGAGAAGTAGGTTTAAAAATAAAGGAGAGAGGGACAGTGTGAAGGAAGAAAAAATAGTGATCTAAACTGGAGCCAGGACTGAGGCCCTGTATGAGAAAGGTGCTGGCAGACGAGACTCTAGGAATCGGCCTCTACACTTTGCAGTGACTGAAACACAGATGCAAAACATGATTCACCGTGTCCTTGGGATAAAAAGAGGTGAAGCGATCCACCAGGGGGTGTGGGTGTTTTCTGTAGCAAATATATGAAGTCCGATAAAACAGACTGACGTTGACCTACTTGTCATCACCATGTGCAGCGATTGTAAACAATGTCAGTGATAAAATAGACCGTGCAGAATGGACCTTTCTCACTGACACTCTTGATGTCACTTGGTGTGTCCATTGGATGCAAGCACTCTCTCTGGTGCAGAGAAGCAGAACTAGCCCGGACAGGAAGCTCGAGGAGATGTTTCCTCAAGGGTCCTAACAGAGAAGCCATTATGATAGTACATACAAGGGTGAGTGGCATAGTGCTATTTCTTACAGCCTACCTCAAGAGAAGTCTATGGATAACACCACAGAGCAACCTACACCATAACTTGTTTGTTGACTTGGCTAAACTTGGTAGGGAGCAATCAGGAACAGTTTTATTTTCTCTTTGGAGCGCTCTCTTCAAACAAATCCTAAAACATTCTCCGTTCCCCATCCGTTGGCAGAGCCCATAGCTTCCCAGCCCTGTTAAGGTGTTAGACTGGTCACCTAGTTATGTATGTTTAAAAGTCAATTGAATCATCTCTCTTTCCCTCAGCTTGGGCCTCACTAACTCATAGTTTGGAGATCAGAAAAGGGAAGAAGGTTCTTTTGTTTTCTCTGTTCTACTTCCTCATCCGCCCCTCACTTCATGATCCTTAATCAGGGTAAGTGGAAGAGAGATTGAAAGAAGAGCACTTGTTCAAATAGTTGGTGCTATTTCAGACTCTTTCTTGGCTATTGAATGTCCTCTGTTATGACACATATCAAATTACTGGCTTTTTGGGGAACTGCATCTTACCATTTCTGACAGTGTGCTCTCTGGCTTATCTCCTGTGACCACCTCTTCTTCTCATAGCGCTTGCTCTCCACGGTATAACCCACAGAGATTTTCTGCTTGGGTTCCACCTGGCAGTAGGGGCTTGGGTCTTTCCAGGAGCCCTTGGTTCCAGCCACCTTCCCAGTCAGTGTCCATGTAGCCTTAGGTACTGATGCACTCTTGCCTGACTAAGAAGATGTGCAGCTTGATCCTACCACTGACTTTTCTTTTGTTCCTACTGCGTTACCCTGTTCTGGGACAGCGTTTCTTCCAGAAGGCATAGCGTTGAAGAGATTCAGCATTGGTCCAAAGGTAGGACAGAATCCCACTTCCAGCACTGAGTAGAAGACTCTAAGGGGGCTCTAAGAGTACACACAGCTGTGTCTGGAAGACAGGAAAGTTAAGAAGATAATTGAAAGACTTGTATATGTGAATACTGTCTTGGTTGGGCATAATTTATTGCCCTTTGTAATAGACAAAATCCATTTAGGGCTAGCTTTAGGAACAACTTGATGCAGACTGTGTGATCAGGAGCCAGTTTCTCTCTCCAGCCACCTCCCTGATTTGGTTTTCCTCAATTGGCTGCAATCTTCGACTCTCATCTCATGGTAGCAGGACAGTGGTAGCAACTGCAGGTCTTTCAACACTAAATCGAATGGAAAGAGATAACTCAAACAAAAATACAAAAAGTCAGTCTCATTGGCTCTGATCAACAATGTCTTGAGGGCAAGTTACTGCCAGCCTTGTTTTTGAATCCCCAGAGGGCTTAATCTTGTACCTTGTATGCTGTAGATGCTCAAAAAATGTTGTTGGAATGAATTAATCAATCTATAAGCCCTCACTGATGCATATAAACAACTAGCCATTTATTTAGTAAAATCCCTAGAAAACAGGATAGTAGGGATATATCTTTTTATTACAAGAGGAGTAGAGAAAGGTCAAGAACGAATCAGCTTGAATTCAAGTCCATTGTAATCACAATGTATTTATGTGCATTTTTCTTGGGTGGGAGGAAGGTTGATAGCTTTTCTTCCATTTCTCAGAAACATCAAAAGGGTAGTGGTGACAGATCTGAGAAGAGATACTCTCAAAGAGACCTATGCTGTGGTGGACTGCCATAGAGGAATTTTCTGGGTAACAGGCCATGGCATGGAAGAGAGGACAAAGCAAAAATAGTAAGCAGTGGAGGGACAGCGTCTCTGAAAAGCAAGAGGAGGGTCACCAGGCCCCAGGACGTACAACAGACCCATGAACAGAGTCAACCCACTCACTAGGTATGAAACTGTGAGAAAGTTATGGAAAATCTCTAAGTTTCATTTGTGTCATCTTAAAAATGAGAATAATTATAGCTACTTACCTATTTACCTGCTTCATTGGCTGGTTGAGTTTAAACCATTGAGAGTTTTGGGACCAGACTGCTGCTAGGGTTCAAATCTCAGTTCTACCCTTGAACTTCTCTAAATCTCAATTCCTTATCTGTATGTGGAATAATTAATACCTACCTCATAGGATTATGTATGTATCATTTATGTATGAGACAACATTTAAAATGTGCTTAGGATATGACCTGGTATATAATAAATGCTTAATTAATGCTGTTAATTCATTTGTTCCTTCACTCAACAAATACTCATTGAGTGTCTGTTATGTGCCAAGTTCAGCTTAGGTACTTGGAAACACAGATGAACAAAACAGGCAAAGCAATCATTTGCCCTCATGGGCCTTCTTTTCTAGTAGGCAGGGGACAGACAACAAAGACTATACTTAGCCATAAATGATATAGTATGTTAAAAGGCAATAAATTGCTTGAGAAGGTAATCTGGAAAGAGCTGAGGTCCCTATCCTCATAGGTACTGGGAAGAAGTGTTCCAAGTAGAGGGAGCAGCCAGTGCAAAGCCCCTTGAGTGGAAGCAGGTTCAGTGTGTCCCAGGAATAGCAAGGAGACTGGTTTTGCTAACCAGGGTGAGCAGGGGAATGAGTACTAGGAAATGAGATCAGAAAAATAATGGTAGGCCAGGCCCTAGAGGACCTTGTCATTAATCAGAAGGACTTTGGGGGTGCCTGGCTGACTCATTCAGTAGAATGTGCAACTGTTTTGTTGTTGTTGTTTTGTTTTGTTTGTTGTTTGTTTTTGTTTTTGTTTTTAGCCTGCAACTCTTGAACTCAGGGTCATGAGTTTCACCCCTGTGTTGGGCATAGAGATTAA